ACTACTACTACCACTACTACTACTACTACTACTACTACTACTACTACTACTACTACTACTACTACTACTACTACTACTATACAACTACTACTACTACTACTACTACTACTACTACTACTACTACTACTACTACTACTACTACTACTACTACTACTACTACTACTACTACTACTACTACTACTACTGACTACTACCACCAAAACTACTACGACTACTACTACTACTACTACTACTACCACTACTACTACTACTACTACTGCTACTACTACTACTCCTACTACTACTACTACTACTACTACTACTACTACTACTACTACTACTACTACTACTACTACTACTACTACTACTACTACTACTACTACTACTACTACTACTACTACTACTACTACTACTACTACTACTACTACTACTACTACTACTACTACTACTACTACTACTACTACTACTACTACTACTACTACGAGGGTGCACATCAGATAATGCAAAATGCGAATTCCGCAGCACATGTGGTGCAATTGCACGATGTGGTTTGCACAGCCTCGATTATTCGACATAGCTTACACGATGTACCTGATACCACGGAGTCTACACAACTTAGTGCGTACGCCCGAATCTCAAACAACATAGCTTGCACCACGCAGTGTACACAACAGATGTTGCATCGCATAGCCTACACCTCCACACTCCAATAGCTCAATGCTTGGGGTCCACGCTGGCAGACCTATAACCTAGATACATCAATAACTGCATGTATGATAAAGGAGGCGATGGAGCCGCCTCGTCCGCCTCTGCGTACGCCTCGCGCGGCGCCGCGTCCGCCTCAACCCCAGCGACCTCGCGCGCGCGGAGAGCTCTCTCCAGCCTGCGAGAACCGAGCCGAACTCCAAGGGCCAAGAGAGTCGTTCGGGTCGGACGACTTGGGGGAATAACGAAGGGGGATTCGTGAGTAAGATGCATGCGGCCAGCACGTATCGAAGAAAATGCCCCGCGGCGCGGCCGAAACCGGCTGCACACACAGATTTCGAAACCCACCCTTTCCCAAACAACCCCCGTCTCGTCCGACCCGAGTCGTGCGTGTCAGCCCCCATCTGCACTGTGCTCACCCTGAAAAGGAGACCAGCGATCATACACCTGCACAGGTCCTGGCTGGGCTCACCCTGGGCCCGGGATCGGTTTATACACCCTCCTGGCTCGGCATGGAAGGCATATACAGCGAGCCTGGGCCCGGGATTATCTTGGCCAGGATCGGTGTGGGTGTCTATTTGGCGCCTGCCGACTTTAGGCAACCACATGCGAGAGCCGGCCCTGCAGAACAGATGTTTGAAACACCGTCAGGGGTCAGAACTTCAAAGGATGTCCGCAGCCGAGTGAACCCCAACAGGGGTGTCTGATACTGATGCCCCGGCGATGGCTGGACCCGGAAAAGCGGTGTTCGCCAGCGGTTGCCGCCCCTTTCTTCGGGGTGCTACCAGCCGCCCTGCGGCGCAGCGTGCTTGCACGAGGCAACCTCGGGGCAGGGCGAAGGCTCGTGGGCTCCCGAACCGCCCCCCCCACCGCCCCTACAGGGGGGGTCATGTGCAGCTCCCGCCTGCCCACCACCAGCCGCTGGAATGAGCACTCCAGGGGGGCGCAGCCCCCTCGTCAGCTGCGGCACTGTGGTCTGTGCTCCAGAGCGTTGGGGCGTGTGTGCTGCGACGCCTCTGGGCGAGCTCGGGGGGGAGAGAATGGAAAAACAACGGACTGGTCAATCCCGCCACCCTCTGGGCGGCATGTGGCATCTGCACTATTTGAATCCCCGGTGCAAGAGATTGTTCCTCCCCTAACCCCCACCCCGAGGTCCCAACTTCGGCGGACTGCTGGGCTTCAAGGACTCATTCTTTTGTGTCTGAAACCGAAGATGCAGATGTGCAAAAACGCTTCTCTGACACTTCTCGGCCTCCAAGACAGGTCCCAAAGGGCGACACCATCTGGCATCCGCCGCCTCTTGTTCCCGAAAGGCTCCCAAAGGCGGCGAACGAGGCCTTCAACACGTTTTCAAGAGGCCCCCAAAATGGCCCAAGAGGCCACCAAGACAGCTCAAGAGGCGTCTCAGAGGGTCCACGATGCCCTTAGACAGTCTGGTGAACCAACGAGAAGCCCCAGAGACGGCCTGAGGGCCTAAGAGAGGTTCCTAAGATGGCCAAGAGACTCTTTAGACGGTCCAAGGATTTCAAATCACCTCACCAAAAGACGTCCCAGAAGCGTCCAAGAAGCTTTGAGGGTGGTTTAAAAAGCCATTGGAAAGCCTGGGGGGCAAGGGGCTTCAAAGACTTCCTAGGAGGCCTCTGAGATGTCGGGAGGCATACAAGAAGCCACGTAAAGACCTCGACTCTCTCAAGAAGCCCCCAAGAGGAGAGCGCACATCCCCGAGAGGCCCCCAAGACTGCAAACAAAAGCCCTGAAAAACGGCCGAGGAGGACCCCAAGCGGCTGGCGAAGGAGACTGTGAATGTTGGTTATTGGTGCCACACTGCTTTCGTGCTAGCGTGACTCTTTCGCCCGCTCCTCCCGATCACCGCCGCCTCGCTCTGATTATCAATACTCGGTCACATCGGACAAGGTCATATTACACTAACTATACATCGACAAGACAAAACCAACCACGACAAGACCACTCACGAACAGACCAAGCCAAAACGGGAATGGCCCGAATATCACAGACTAGAGGGGAGTGAGGTACCCGTGTGTCAGCTGGCCCGCCCCGCCCGAATGCTGACACATCGGTAACATAGCTGGGGGAGCTCACAAGTGAGAAAAAGGGGGCGCAGACAGGGCAAGTGTGTAAAACGAGGAAACAGAGGCAGGAGTTCAAGCGAAGGATGAAGCCTCCGATGGCGGGGGGGGCGGAGAACGATGGAGAGTAAGAAAGCGAACAGGGGGAGGAGGAAAGGAGAAAAAGAAGCCAATTGAACAACCAACCCTCTTGTAGCCGATTGTGCGCGCCCAAACGTCAGCAAGCAGATGAAACCAGGTCGCGAATCGAAGAAAATCACCAAGACCAAATCGGCACACGTGACAGCACGCACGCTCGATCACACCGGATTCCACCACACGCGCCCAGACGACACTAGACCACACTGGTCAAGGTGATTGAACGTGAGACCCCCAAGAATGTGAGCGTTCATGGCGGGGGCACGCGAGGCGTCAAGATTGACGGTGAACACAGGGGGCAGGCAGGGCGAAAGAGACGCATCGGCAGCCAGCAACATGCACACGCGATTTCGAGCCACAACGTCAGCATCTTCCAGCACTTCTCAACCTGGAGACGTGGGCTCAAAATAAGTTCCAGCCCGCTTATTTGATGCGGCGATATACTTCGAGCAAGGTCCCCCTCTGGGAGCCACAAGAGCTACCGGCTGCATAGCCCGAACTCCTCCACCGGTGTTTCAGACGGGGCATGGCAAGCACCCCTTTTCGATGATCCGCAGAACATGTGTTAGCGCCAACGTGTGCATGTCCACCGGAGCTCTTCGATGCGACGGCAGGCGGTGCACTGAGGGCTGGCACAGGCTGCTTGCTCGTGGGGCTAAATAGGGTAAACACACATTCAGCTCGCACTGGAGGCCTGCCAAATTGGGTCCCAGCATGCAGGGTCGGAAGATCGCGCCGCATCGTCGATGCATTGGCGACCCAGGCGATGTATCGATGCCGTCGATGTGCAGAAAAGCAGGCTCCACATCGAGCCGCAGCATCGATGAATCGGCGATGCGGCGCGATCCTCAGACCCGATCTATTCCGACCCCACTTGCAAGGCCTGGATTTCGGTAGAGCTGAACGGGGTAAACTATCTGTGTCGCAGCAACGTGAGCGGACGACAAAGCGTCAGAGGGCTCTTGGGCCGCGGCCTAGCGAATTGAGCATCGCAGATGCGGGAAAGTGGAGAGCGCACGATCACAACGTGTAGCACACATCACGCGTGGTGAAGGCTGTCCCAGGCCCCACGGAAGAACACGCTGGGCTGCCACGCGCCCAGAGAAGCATCGACCTTTTGGCCCCTCTCATCCCTGCCACCCCGCCACGGGAAGCGCGAGCGCGGACGAAGCCTCGCCCCCAGGCTCCGACTCCCCGGCGCACCGGTCGCTCGCAGGAGGCCGCGGGGCCCCAGACGAAGGAGGGCCAAAGATGAGCAAAGGAGGGCGTGGCGCGTGCGCCCGCGACGGGGCCCAGAGGCCTGGCCGCCTCGGGGAGGGGGCCTTTGGGGCGGCGAGTCACGCGCCAAGGGCGACCCTGGGCCAGAGCGGACCTTCGGGCGCGCGGTTGGCCGATCGTCGCGCGCGGCGCGGCAGTGGCAGCCTGCGCGCCTGGGTTTGCCGCCCCCCGGCGCCTCCCGGAAGCCGCGCCACAGAAGTCACTGCGGCCAAGGGTCACTCGGCTATCGAGTCACAACTCGTCCAGCGGCCGTTTGGGACGATTCGGGAACCATCAGAACGCTCTCGGCGAAGCGTAGCTGCTGGAATGAAGGGGCCCAGGGACACACAAATATTTGTTCACATATTTTCTGGAGTTTCGTACTCCCCCCCTCCCATATTTTTCCATATTTTCCTGGGGATCGACGATGAATTGTGTCTGTGTGATTTTCCTATCCTCCTGATGGAACGCGTCCCGAGGCACGACAGGCACCCGAAAGGGCGAGACAGGAGCGAGCGGCGAAGTGGCGAAGGGCCGGGAGGGGGGGGGGCGATGGGGGGCGAGAGAGGGCCGAGGGGAGGCCAGGAGAGGGCCGAGAGAGAGGCGAGAAGGGGCGAGAGAAGAGCCGAGAGTGGGGCGAAGGGGCGAGGGAGGAGCGAAGGGGCGAGCCGGGCCCCACTCTGGAGCCCGCCTGGGCGCAGGGAGCGATTCGGGTCCCGGGGCCTGTCGGGGGCGGGGGAGGCCGTGCCGGCCGCCGAAAGGGGCTGGCCTCGCGGGCACGCGCGAGGGGGCGGACAGAGAGAGCGCGAGAGGGGAGGGGCGAGAGGCGAGCGAGGGGTTCCCTCTTTGCTCCTTGCCCCATCCTTCGTCGCTCTGCCCTGTTCGCCCCGGTCGCCTCGCCCCGTGTCTTCTCCCTCCGAAGAAGGAGCGAGGAAGGAAGAGCGAGGAGCGAAAGGAGGGAGGGCCGCGGGGCGAGGGGAGAGGGCATGGGAGGGGAAGGGGATGGACCAGAAAACAAACGACACCAACCCACCTACACAAGGTTCAGCGTATACCAACAGATTTGGCGTGGGTTGTTGCGTGGTGTAGGCTACGGCCCCCGATGGGCCGTAGCGCAACATGGAAGGCCGTAGGTGGGATGGTGTCGTTTGTTTGTTTGTTTGTTTGTTTGTTTGTTTGTCGACGGGGGCAGGCTGCCCAAGACAACGCCAAGCCCAAGCATTTGGCGCCCCGAATTGTCCGAGACGTGCGCCCCCAGATCCGTCGACCCCTTTTTTACAGCAGACCAATTTTCGTCCACGGTCGTTTCTTGACGGCACCAGGGCCCGAAACCAGCCCCCAAAGGCCAAAACAAATGCAACAGGCGGGGCGCCCCGATCTTTTCGAGGCTCCGCATATCGAGTGAACGGAGAGAAATCGAGGACCATGACCAAGACTGAGCGCGGAAGCATCGGTGCCGATCTTGGTCATCGAACATACTGGTCATCGCCAATTCGTGGATCATCTTCGCGACTCGGCGACGGCCGGCGTGAACCATGACCACGATCGGCGTCGACAAAATCCCGCGACATCGCGATTTCCCTTCGATCTAAGAGGGGTCCCCCCGAAGGCGACGCGGCTGGCCGCAGGCGGACGGATAGTGGTTGGCCTGACCCACGCGCTCGGGCGTACAAACCACGAGGCCCGCCCTTCGGCTGGGCGGCGCCGGACAAGATCCGACCTGTGCTCCCTCCATGACGCTGTTGCAAGACTTATGCACCAGTGCGTGCTGCGCTAGAGCGAGAGCCAAATTTTGACAAGAAGCCGCTATCCATCCATGGAACTGTTGCAGGCATTCACAAATAATGTGCGCGGCGCTATGGAGATGGCATATTCAAATTACGATACGCGCTCACTTTCCAAAGCTGCTGCAATGTTGCAAAACGGCTGCGCTCGGCAATCTGGCGAAGGCCACATTTTGAAAACAACGTCTGCTCTAGCCCAAAAGTTGCTGCAAACCTTTGAGACGAATGTGCGCGGCGTTCAGGCGAGAGTCACATGTTCTTAGCAATGATTTGCGGCATCGACGCTTGTTTCTCGACGGCCTGATCGCCGAAAGGCTCGATCAGAAACCGCTGCGGAATGCGCTCTGTCTCCGCGCAAGCAACACTGAACTCGAGAGGGCATTTGGACCGTTGATTTCCGACACCCCTCCTCGATCCGCCCACATCGGGCCTCGGGCAGTCGGGCCGCAGAACCTGCGTTCGCCGCAAACGACATGACCAGCAGGCACAGCCGCCCCTCACTCAGAGGAAACAGCGCGGGCAAGTGGCCCTCTTCACCTGGCGGTCCACTCTGCCCCTCGACATCGCTCGTCAGAGCGCGCCGTCGCGCCATCCGCCGCAGCGCGGCGCGCGAACTCCTGGCCGTCTGGCGGGAAGCGAGCACCACAGCACACGCGGTGCCCCTCGCGAGTCGCCGGCCTCCTCGTCATCTGGCGGACGCCCCCGCGCATCGCGGCGGCGCGCGCGCCCTCGCCCGCGACGCGGCGCACGTAGCTGACCCGCTCGCGCCCCGCCGCGTCGGCCACCTCGCCCCCGTCCGGCATCGGCAGGTCAGGTGATGACCGCGCGCCGTACCCCCCAGCGTCGGGTGGATCCTCCTTCGCCCCCTTGCCTTCGGCCGTGGCGTCGTCGCCCGCCCCCTTCACCTTTTCGTCGATGAAGCTCCCGCTGGCGCCGCGCCTCCAGCGGCAGAGCAACGCCGCGACGATACCCGTCATCGCGCACAGCATGGACCAGCCGAACTGCACCTCGACGTGGAACGCCACCTGGCCATCGCGCTGCCGCTGCCCAGATCGGGCCCGCGCCCTGCGCAGAAGTCCTCGAAGCCGCGATCGCGCCCACGACTCCGCCGTCGAACTGGCCCGCGCTGCACTGGCCCAGCATGCCCCTGCACTTCTCGAGCCCCCCCCTGGAAATCGGCGCCGACGTCGGGCGCATTCTCCGCGCCCTTGACCTTGATGTTCTTTATCTGGCCCGCCCCATCTCCGCCGCGAGCTCCACTGCGCACAGGCACTCCCGCCCCGGGGTTCGGCTGCGCCGGGGCGGGCCCAGCGCGGGCGCACACGCTGACGACTATGTCACACCAGCGGATGACCCCGCAGCAGGTTGACTTGCGGGTCTCGCGGCAGCCTGCCCAGTCCCGGGCGGGTCGGTTGATCATCGTCACGTCGAGCGCCCTGCTCTGGCATCTCAGCAGGCGCGCACTTCACGTCGGCGACACTCGGTTTGCTCAGCTGGCGGCCCAGTCCCTTCAACGGGCGCGCCACGCCCAACCGCCTCGGGATGGCGCACTGGATCTCCCCACGGCGGCGGCGGCGCAGCGATCGCCCCTCACCGCTCCGCGGGCTGTCCGCCCCAGGCTCGGCGAGACCCCTGCGGCCCCCGCAGGGCGGCAGCCCGTCACCCCCGCTGCCTCTAGGATGCCCGCCACGCACCCTGGCTTGCTCTTTTCCACGACGGCGCCCCCGAACCTCTGCAGCGCTGAGACGACGTCAGATCCTTGATCGCCAGATGCCCGGCCAACTCGCCGAAGAAATCGTCGAGTACACCTCGCGATGACCCCGGTGCAAGAGGACCGCCCGCGCGCGCGACAACCCTGACGCCCTTCTCGCGGCGGCGATAGATGGCGGGCTCTGCCTTGCATGCGTCGGCCCCAGCTGCATTCACGACGCACTGCAAGAACTCCTGAAACCGCAGCGCCGCCTATCGGGGCCCGCAGCGAGACCCCCCGGCCCTCGCGCGAAGTCGCGCCCCATGCCGCACTCGGGAGGCATCTCCACATAGATCTCCGCCCCCCGCACGAAGGCCGCGCCGAAGTCCGTCGCCGCGACGGCGCGCTCCAGAAGAACGCCGCCGCCATCAGCGCCCCCATGGCCTCCGCGCGCGGCGCGCAGGCGAAGTGACAACCAGCCTGCGCGCCCTTATACTGCCCGACGACGCAGCACCTGCGCCCACCCCCCTGCGGCGCCAGCGCGCGCCCCACAACTTCTTGCCCGCAGGTCGCGACACTGGCTCTCACGTCAAGAGACTCCATGAACTTCACCTCGCGCGCGATCCCCGAATGGACCACGTCTGAATCGAGGAACTGGCCGTCGTCATCGTCGTAGCAGGCCTACTCCAGTAGCTCGCAGCTCGGGTCGAACTCGCACGGCTCGCAAAGCTCCGAACCCTCATCGTAGCCCAGCTCCGCCCGCACGGCTCGCAAAGCTCCGAACCCTCATCGTAGCCCAGCTCCGCCACGTTCGTGATCGCCACCACGCCGCCGACCATGTCTGCGCGCACGTTGCGCTCCGCGGGCGCCGTCACGTCCTCGGCGGGTGCTTCTTCACTGGCCCGCTTGCCAGCCGAGCTCAGAGCTCTCTGGCTCCTCCGCCGCTGCCCGCTTGGCCCCCGGGGCGCACGCCTGCCCATCGTTGCTGGCCCGTTTGCCGCGCAGCAAGTTGGGAGGCAGCCCCCCCCCCCCCCCCCTGGCCCGCAGCCGCTGGAGCGCCCGTAGCTGCTACCAAAGCAACCACTGCATCCAGGAAAGAAATCCTCCGACATCGGGCCCGGAAATTCTCGGGTCACTGGGCGCCCTCTCGGCCTCTTCTCGATTGACTCGGGAGCGTGCTCGATGCCCCCCTCCATGGCGTCGCCTGCCTCCTCCCCATCGCACTCGGGACCAGGTTGGCCCCCCTCCCCGGACTCGCGCTGCGGCGCCGCCAGCTGCCCCATCCTGCTCCTCGGCGGCCTAGACGGCCGCGGCAAGTCGAGGTCGGACAGCGGCCTAGCGACCACGGGTGCCGACGCGTTCGCCGCCTTGGTGTCCGACGGGGTGCCCTTCGTGGCCGGGAGCAGCTGCTTGTCGCAGCGCTCGCTCGCGAGCAGCCTCCTCACGCGCCTCGCCACTATAATCCTCCGGCGCGCCCC